ATAGATATAGATATAGATATAGATATAGATATAGATATAGATATAGATATAGATATAAATTCTTTGTCCATACGCAATTTTACTCAAATGTTTTTACAGAGATTTTGGTATAAGACAATTGAACACAAATATATGAAAATCTTATTTGAAAGTTTATTTATTTATTTTAGTTTTAACCCCTTTCCCAGTTCATTAAACCTTTCTTCTCCTCCTACCCTGATATCTCCTTACCAAAAAAGACACTGAGGAGAAGAAAAACAAAAAGAAGGGAGGCAAAGCAATGTAGAATTTATACATGAGCTAAAACTTTAAAAGTACTTTTAAAATAGAACTTACTAGTTAAACGGTGACACTATAGGGGTAAAAATAATGAGAATAACTCRTRAGCGKACTTTAGAATTTTCTGGCGGTTGAWGCGAYGGTTTTTCTTAGTCCATTTACCAGAASGGTTCGCTTTTAGCTACACACCTCTTGCTTGTGTATTATGACTCTATTAAAAAAGAACTTAACATTTTTCTCGTCATCGTGMACATCAAACATTAAGTATATACTTTGTATGCCCACAGTGGYGAATTGCTTTGTTGGATCTAATTTRTTTATTTCTCTWCCAAGGCACATGCGGRTTAATCAGATCAAAMATTATATAAAAGAAGTACATGGTTATTTCGTTAAGATTTAGATACGAACACCAGCAATTTCAAGAGCGGCCAGGCTTACAAGATATTAAGATGTATAAGATGACACAAGATATATCATTATTATTGAACATTAAAAGAAGGCTGTGCTGACAGACTTTTGCTCTACAGTTAAGTTCAATATGGGCTGTTCTTACCARCGCAATTTCAAAATTCTTTATGCTATGTCAAACGACCGTTATATGAAAAGGTTGTTGTGCAATGCCAATAATGATAAAAGCGTTCCGCTAAAGTGGCTTGAGTTTATAAAAAAWTGTAATTGGGATAAATAATGTTAGAAAGTCAAAACCAAAAGTTTTTGAATAATATTAATAGTAATACTTTGATGTTACCTCCATTTTTTGGCTATAATTTGGCAAAGCACAAAATTGTTCGGTGTTACTACAGGGCTCGGTTGCACGAAGCTAGCCGTCGGATCCGATATCGCTATCCGACGGATAAATCTTATCTCGTCGACACATTTATTGGATGACAGCATCGACTTATCCACTGGATAAGAATTTAGTACTAGTACAACTGGGCCCAGATGACATACTTTTCAAAAAGAGCTATTAAAAAATGACCAAGAAAATACTCCAAAACAAACAAAATTTTAATTTCTCTGCGGCGGTATTTGATATGGGTCCAACGATGCCTGATATATTGTTTTGTTGAGTTTTAGCTATCGGTGTTAAAACTACTTATTGGCGACACGCGTAGACTTATTATGTGCCTTCCTGGATAAGCGTATGCACTCTTTACAAATTAGTTCAACATACGTTATCGGCTTTTGTGCGTGTGTTTTCACTATTATTTTGCTTGTTAGCGAGAGACTAAATATTTGGCTACGGGCGCGTGGCTTRAGGTTGATTAAAGAAAAAGGTGTGAGAACATTTGGTCTTTTGTGTAAACAAAAAAACAGAAAGCGCTTTCTTCTTTTTCTATTACTTTTATTATTTCTCTTCTTGGTCTAAAATGAAAGATTTTGACTTCAATCTATCTAGCAACCTTTGCAGCTTTCAATCCCAAAAACCATAAAAGATACCAATATGTTAAAACGGCTTACATTCCTTGCATTTGGGAAATGAATAAAAAGGGACCTATCCTTCAAAAATGCTTAAATGTAACCCAGTTTGTAAGCATTCAACTAAATGAAGCCAAGTCGACTGTCCTTTAATTACACTCTATAAAAAAGATTATTTCACAAAGAAATAGAAAGAGCCAACCACCAATATGCAGACGATAACTGTGACCAATGCACTAACTATAAAATATATTCTCCTTTTTGGTTTACTCATTTATTGTATATATGTATTATAGCTTATCGTGATGTTTTAATAAATGGGAGGAGGGGGAATAAAACTAGAGCTATATTACTTCTGCTTTTAGGAGATAATAATCTACAGTATTCAAACAGGA